GCGCGAGGAGGTGGATTTCGGAGACTCCTGAGGTGGCAGCCGCAGAAAAACATGGAGGGTATGCGCCGGAAAGACTGGTGGCTACAAAGGAAGAGTATGACAAAAACATACAAAAATCATCTTTTTTTTTCACATGGAATATCTACCATGAAATTAAAATATTTAACCAATTAGTATGTTCATCCTTTCTAACAATCTAATGTTATATCTTGAAATAAAAATGAAAAAGCTTGGCAAATAATTTGGAATATTCCGTTGGTGAGCAACGTCAGTTTCACAGGTTTCACAAACTTGGAATTTCACCATCAGAGAGAGTGCTTCTGATCCTGGGCCCATCCCGATACCATTCAACCCCTTTGCAGATAAAATGACTTGGAACCCCAGTGGGGTTCCGTATTTAGGATCGTTCCTGAGCCCCCATACCAGGGTCCCAATCTAAACCTGTTTCTGACACGTTTTGTGGGTGCGGTATGGTTTTTCACAACCCCCAAGCATAGTTTATACTGCCGAGGGGCCGAGGGATGGTGGTTTTTAGCCCACATTGCTATGAGTAGAAACCCGGATAACCTGGTTTTCAATCCAAACTAGCCAGTAAGGTCCTGTTGGAATCTGATTCATCCAGATTATGGATATCCTGTTCTTCTTTTCCCCCTACTCATCAGTTACTAATTGGTGCCCTAGTTAACCCTAGTTCACAGAGAAGTGCTAGGGTCAAAACATTGTATATGCCATATATATATATATATGGCACATACATACATACATACATACATATATATATATATACATATGTGGCATATATATATATATATATATGTATATATATATATGTATATATATATATATGGCAGTATATGCTTTATGGTCATCCATAGCATAATTGGAATCCAAACATCGTTGGTAGCTCCTCAATCACGGGGAAGCCCACATGCACATTGCGCCCCGGGGACCTTTGACGTGCGAGGGTCAAGGGGATGGGGAGCAAAGGCGGAGTTTCGATTCTTGGGGAGGTCATTTCCGGATGATATTTACAAAGATCTTGGTCGCTTTTCTTGATACCAGTCCATGTGTATCTTCTCCAAGGTAGTTTTGGAAAGTACTCCGTAAGACTCTGCAAGCGTTGCTTTTTCCTTATACATCAACCCCGGATTGCTAAACACTGAAGTCTACTGACGGGGTGGTACTCCCCATCAATCAACTGCGGCTTTAGCAATATCCTGGGTGAAAAATGGACCAGTACTGGATGATTGGCCTATTACAAATTGGCAAATGTCTATGGCTGTGTTACAGTAGATTACCAGAGGGTACATAATTTCATAGTCCTTCAAAATCTACGTCATGTCACAAGGCGAAACTTAAGCCTGGGTTGACATTACCCATCTGCATGTCTTTCCAATTCCCCAACTCTAATCCCAATCAGACCCCATGAAAATCCAAATCCCAATATATAAAACCCCATGAAAACAGGTGGTAAACCATGGTAAACCCAATGCCATAAACCCCAAAATCCCAATCCACCATTTTTGGGGGGCACTAAAAAAAAGAATCCCCTTAAATGGTAGTTGTTTATTGCTATAAATGGTAGTTCTTTACGGGGGTTATTGCTATAAACCCTCCCCAAGGTGGCCCATGGGCACCTCAAATCGACATGGCTGCTCCAATCGCTGGCTTCGATCGACACCTGTCATCAAACGCTATCCGCTATCGAAATCCAGCATCAAACGTGGGGGGCATGGGAAACCATTGGGAAAAACATGGAAAATATACGGGAAAACCAGGAAAACCCATGATAAATGGAGGTTGAGTTCGTTGGGAACATCATCGAACGTAAATTTTCGAGCACGCCATGATGACACCGGAGGGTTGTGATCAGTGGAGGGGATCAATGTTGTATGTTGTAATAATCCGAATCTTATTGCATCATATTGCATCTACAGTAACTGCCCTTAGTTATCTTAGTTGCCAAGTCATGCCAAGTTCATGTTTCTTATGTTTCTTGCAAAAGCAAGATGAAGCCACCTTACAATGACTGTTGGGTCGTCAAATTTGAAGACCCTGGGAACCATAAAATTCGTCGATCATTGCTGCAATGGGATACCCCACGAAACCAACCCATCCCCTGGAGCTCCCCAAAAAAGCCGCCCGAGGGGCCTCCATATTCCGTGATTCGTGCCTATGAAACCAGAGCAGCCGGCAACAACACCTCAATACTCACGGTTGTGAACCTCCAGGTTGTGAACCTTCAGCCTACTGTCCGGCTTCTGATGAGCAACTTCCCCCAAAAGCGGCTTCCTCACTGGTGGTTTTTAGCTCTTTCATGATGCGAAAAGAGTGTTGAAAAGGACAAGCATCACGAGTTGCAGAGTGAGTGTATATCGTGGAGTTACTGAGTTATACAGTTATAAGTTATACATGTATCCCTCATGTGTCCCCGAAAAAAAAGCTGGCCGGGGTCCCGCATTAAGTGGACACTTGGGGATGCTTCAAAACCCTGCTGATTTTCACGTCCCTGGCCATTTTTTGCATCCAGCATCATTCAGCCAAAAAAACACCACGTATCTTTAAAAAAAAACTAAAAAACCGAAAAAAAAATGGTGATGCTTTCTAGTTGCTAAGTTGTGGCCCTAAAACCCTTTAAAAGGGAATTTTTCATGATTTTTTCAACCGGTGCAACCGGTGCAACCAATGGAAGGACCGACTGGGTCACCCGGACTGCCAGCGATCCTCTGAGTCCTCCTCCGCCGTCTCATCGACAAGCCTCAGCCCGTGGCTAGTTTCACATGGAGCTATTGAAACCAACCAAAGAATATATACATATACATATACATAATACATACATATATATATATATAAACACACATATGATTAATATATATATATATGTATAATCATGTGTATACATATATATATATACACACATTCGCATCTGTGTACATGTGGAATGGATAGCAGGAATATAAGAAATCCAAGCGACGGGGCACACGAACTGCCGGCCACCCAGTATTTGGCCACATGGCAACCCATCAGCCTACGGCGAGATCGTGAATCCAACGTGCTTTTGAATGGTTTTTTGATTCCATAAGATCTCACGGAGAAGTCAATCACCAATCATATCAATCATTTTGAGTGGTGAAACATGGTGAAACATGGTGAAATTCCCATGAAATTCGACGGCACCGAAGTTGGCTGGGTCAAAATCTCAGGTGTCCCACATGGTCCACCCCCATTTTTGGCAGGTAGAAGTCCCAATTTTGGCAGGTCAGAGTCGGTGTCAAAGTCATCAAACATGGTCAAACATCAAAAATTCATCAAAAAATGGATTTCTAGATTTCATCAAAATTTGGATTTCTAGATTTCATCAAAAAATGGATTTCTAGATTTCATCAAAATTTGGATTTCTAGATTTCATCAAAATTTGGATTTCTAGATTTCATCAAAATTTGGATTTCTAGATTTCATCAAAATTTGGATTTCTAGATTTCATCAAAATTTGATGGTCAAACTTTTCATCAAAAATCTCTCGATTTCTCCGTGAAATCCCCCAAAGTCCGATGATGTCCGATGCGGGAAGCGGCCTCCAAAGGCTGCCGCGGTGCCCCCGACCCCGCGCCGGCGCCAGGGACCCGCGAAAAGGGCTGCGGAAAAAAACCAGAGTGACGACTGGATCCCCCATCAAATACCAGGTATTTCATGATGGTTTATTAATGTTTATCATACATGAAATCATAGTTACAAGATAAGCTGCGTATCGTCTTATATGATTCTTAATTCATTAATCTTATATAATTAATCAGTCATAATTATATGATATTATATGTTCAATATGTTTCAATTGTCTGTGTATTGATTCATCTAATTTATATGTCACATTCATGTTGGAATGGATTAATGTTTATGCATATACATGGCAGAATATGATTCACACTGGGTTAATCTTTAGCTGGTTTCAGTGCTTCGCAATTTCAACTCTACAACTGGTTTAACTGTGAAAAAGTACGGCATAGTGGAGGTTTAACCGAGAGTTGTTACAAATTCAGGAGTCCACCATTTCCATGACATGCTTATTTTTGCATTTTCGCAGTTATCAGCAGCACAGCGCTCCAAGCATTTTCCAGGGCTGTTAAAACTGCTCTGACGATTCTGTCTATCTGTTGCCAGTGAACGGAGGGCCGAGACTCACCCCTTTTGGAACAGCGTCACCAGCGGGAACTGGTGGCCAGAGCTGCGATGATTTCAGAAAATCATCAGGGTATGGGTCAAATTTTCAGACCAGCAGACCCACAATTCAGGGTTGCTCCCAACACCGGAAATGCCACAGGGGGGGTATTTTTGGCAATTCGGAAAGGATGTTTTTAATCACCAGCAAAGTCCCCCGGCAAGGCAAGCTGCTGGCTGGAGCAAACCCGCGCAATTCTTTGGCCAAGCCACACATCGGCTGACCCTTTCGTGGCTGGTTCGGTTCAACCACTTGCCACAGATGCATCTGATCTTGCAAGTCCTAACGAAATCTATCACACATGTTGGCATGTTCATTGTTTGAAGAACAAATTTTGACTTGCTGAGCGAAGAGTTTTACTTTCTTCCTCCTTCAACCCGCTGTATACAGCGTGCATGCTCGCATGTATTCTCTACATTGATACTCATTTTTTGGGTGTGTATCAGAATCTCTCTTGCAGCAGGTTGCCTACTCAGGAAGCGTTTTCTCTGTCTTTGGACTTTTTACCAAGGGGTGGTGTCGAAGATAACTTAAAACGACACCATCCCTGAAGCATCAGAAAGTTGATGCATCAATTGTGCATGCAAAAAAGCCTCAGTTCTCTTCGGGGACCAGCCTGCAGTTGCAGAAATGATGGCGGTTGTCTCAAAATGGGCAACCATTTTGAACTCCAGAATCCCGAAATTCGTGAATCCCCAATTTTGAGACAAACCCAGGTGCATTGAGAGACCCATGACATGCTGCAGAAGTGACTCCGTGACCCTGCAGAATCGCTGCAAGATTTACGACCATTTGAACTGTCGGCCAAGTCTGGTTAGGCAGCTTTGCACCTACATGCAGATTACATACTGCTTGAAACAGGCTGTAGGTCGTGACCGGCCTTTGATTTTCGGCCCGGCAACCGCAACTGTTCAGGTAACTTCGACAATGTCGACTTCAAAGTCACAAGGAGATGTGGTCTCCTTGGCTGTCAACTTGTCTTGATATCTCTGCAGCAGTTGTAGCAGTGGCAGATGCTGCTCTGCCACTGCAAAGGACTGGAAGGTAGCAATGGAGCTGCCACCTGCCGGCACATTGGCCAGGCGTAGCTTCCCCGCCAGCTGCTCCGAGGCACCCACGCACAGCTGGAAGTTCCTGTCCTGCACGCCTAGTGCCAGCGCAAGATGCGTCGTCCCGGAGCTGGGACGCCCGGATTTGGAGCCAGGGACGGTGAGGACGGAGCCGGTGTCCCAGGGTTGCCCGGTGTCATCCTTCAACACCTCCACCTGCGGGGCAACATCATTTAACCTTCAACCATCGGGACTGTCCATCTGAAAATGATAAACCCTGTGAAGCCCGGAAGGACATAATAGATCTCTGACTCAAAACCCCTGCACGCCAGGACCAACTTTTGGGAGATTAACGTATCTCATTCCTATATCTTCTTATGTTTGGGTGCGACCCAGACTCCTTGAAAATTCGGCCTCCCACCGCAGCCACAACAGCCACAACTGACCCACCTTCAGCTCTTTCAAATGGGGCAACAAATACCCTGCTGCCAACAGGTCCCTCAGTCCAGTGCTGCAGAAGTGCCGTGACACTCTGATCAAGCCATCCATCCTCTGCCCGGGTCGGCGGCTCATCCGCCCCAGCGCGATGTTGGGACTGCGGATCTGCAAGCGTTCCTGGCGGATCTGGAAGAGGGATCTTCCGGAAGACCTGTGGAATTTCTTTCCACCCAAATGTTTGAAGAAAAACCTCTACAGGAAGATCAAAAGTTTATTTATACTATCAAACTTTCTCGGGTGTTCCTGGTTCCCTTCATCTGGGATTGGAGATGCTACAAGACTTCGACGCGTTTTTGCACTCTTCCCAGCAGTAGTTTTGACCAAGTGAAAGATGATGTTCCTGGGGGCTGAATCCCATCCAGTGGGCTAAGCCCCAAGTGTTTGTTACGTTGTCACTTCGACCCATGTTTGTTGCTGCAATCCCCATGTTTGTTGGTCAAAACCCAAAAATGTGACCCCTTTCATCCCTTTCCAATCCGCATTTCTTCGAAACATTGACTCCTTTTTGGACAACCCAGGTAAAATTAGAGAGATCACCCCATGTTGGTTGATACAAACGTCATAAATTTTGCACCGGAACTCTGAAAACCATTGAAAATTCCGAAACCAAGCATCAAAACATCAACAAAATTCACCAAATCTTGACCATTTTTGGGTGGAGGCAGCCTTGGTCTTTAAAAAAAATGCACTTTAATGTTGACTCCTGGTTTGTGAAACAACCCTTCGAACAAAGAAACTATCATTGGATTGACCAAGAATTGAATATTTTTGGTTAACCACCATATTCCCATTCAAGCCGCTATCTAGGAGTGTATATCCATCATTTTCAGACACACCCAAATGAAATATCGTTACTCTTGTGTTTAGTAGAATTTCCCACCGATTGTGGCAATCTCAAATGTATATATTGGATAGTCTTACCCCCGTACCAATCATCAATCAACCATCATTTATCAATGATATCTCCATGGTTTTGATGGTTAAAGCCCCAAAGGAGGTTTCTTAAAATGGGGGATCCCCAAGTCACCATAGCTTTCAATGTGTAGTCATGATCCAATGATAATTTTGAACCATTTGGGGCTATCCTCATCTCACTATACTACTTGGTTGATAGCTCTCCCCAATATGGGTTTGTTCATGATCCCCAATAAACCAAAGTAGTATAGCTCCTTACATCACCTATCAAAAACATGGGTTTCAGCAAATCATGGCCATCCATGACTTGGATGAAGGGGCTACCCCCATGACTTAAGAAACCTCCAACAAACCCAAGTATAGCCATTGAATAGGGAAAATAGAGATTAACCATTGGATTTCAGGGTATCCCGTTTCAAACTTTCAATTCCAGACAAACCCAAATATCGTATATGGTTGCCTAGTTAACATGAATTCCCAAGAATAGTCCGATATGATATCATTTTAGGAAACGCCTAGCCCTAGACAATAAAACCTATACTAATGGCAATGGTATCAGATATCCTATATGCTACAACAAATCATATCAGATATCCTATATACATATATATAACGATGGAAATATACCAGTACATACTTGTCATAATCGGAATATCCGGATGATGGAAATATATGGTACTGCTAAGAATATCCTATCATAACATGATATCAGATATCCTATAATCATGGAAAAATTACAGGATCTCAAATTGTTCTACTGATGGAAATATACTATACAATAATATTATGGTCATATTCCAGTCATAACAACGGGACGGACCATTCAAAGTGACCTCTTTGTCCCCGGGTTTGGGGGCACTTAACCGACTTAACTCTTGAAATGGTCACTTACTAAGCCCAAAAATAGTCACTAACTGCCACGATTATAGCCATTGAATACGGAAAATCATGCTTAACCATTGGATTTGGGGGTCTCCCATTTTCAGACAAACCCACATATCATATGTATATATATATACATATATGTATATATATATATAGATAGATAGATAGATAGATAGATGGATAGATAGATAGATAGATATATATATATATCATACATGTATTCTTCATGCTTGACCTCCCCCCTGCTACCAGTGCTACCAAAGCCACCAAGGCCGGGGCCAGGAGCGCCAGCACCGCCACGTCGCAGCGGCAGCGCGGGGAGTTCCAGGTCGAGCCCTGACCGCGCACCACCGCGACGAAGCTCAACGAGGTCAGCTTCGCCATCGGCTGCACGTTCTCCACCTCAGAACGGGCTGACGATGACCGGGCGACGGAAGAAAGACCGGCGGCTGCAACAAACATGGGGAAAGACGCGTGAAAATGAGCATTTGGCCAGCAATTTCATGGAAATTTATCAGTGATCTATGTATATATATATATATACACATATGACTCTGCGTGCGTGATTTAATGATTTAAGGATAGCGAAGGTGCTAGTTACAGAACTAATTGTGCGATAGTTTATGATGAATACATCTATAGTGAATGGGGTGTCCAAAACCAACAAGCAGAATTCTGGAGAGACCATCTTGTGGGGATTACTTGCCCGAACAAAATGGATAGCTTTTGAGCAAAATGGATAACTTAAGAGAGAGAGAGAGGTATATATGTGTGTACAGTATATATATGTGTGTGTGTGTTTATTTATTTACAAAAATTATATATATATGCACTATTTGGGGAATTGAGGTTGAAAGCAAAAATCAAAATGATTAACATCACTAAACAAAGTCTTGGAGTTGCCCCGGTCGACGCATCGGAAAAATGAGGCAGATTAAACCGCAATAAATTGGGGGTTGACCAGCCAAGAACGGGAGTTAATCAACAAATATGCAAAGGGATTCGACCAACCAACATTGCGATCCAGGTTTTTGCCAACATCTCTGGGAATCTAATCTCGGTTCAATTATCGAGAAGGCCCTGGTGCACCTCAGTCATGTTTTCCATCGCTTTTTTGGGTCCCAAAACTACAAAAGTCCTCATCATATTGGATCGGTTTAAGGTATTTGTTTTCACCCGAAACCCGGCCAAGTTGGAAAAACCCATGGCTTTTCCCATTCAGATCCCTCCAAAAAGCCTCCAAAAAGCCACTTCATCCATCTTCATCCCCAGAAATTTCAGGGGGTCCCCAAGGTCTTCCACCAAGGTCTACCAAGGTCCCCCACCTCCTCCTTCCTTTCTCTCCTCTCCCGCGGCAGGATGGCTCCGGCCGGCAGCTCCAGCCCGCGCCGCGTCGCTTGCGTCGCTTCGGCCTCGGCCGCTTCGGCCTCGGCCTCGTCACCGAGCTCCACCAGGACCTCCTGCAGACTGACCTGGTGATGTTGAGCTCAACGGTCTTTGGGAACATTTGGGAACTATATATATATATATCTAATTAATATAAGAAAACTCTGAGGCATCTAATTAATAAATGTGTGTTTCACGCAAATAATATTATATGGTTATATATATATATAGTGTGTGTGGGGGGTTTTGTTCGCTACTTGTTGACTGATACTTTGCATATCCTATCTAAAGGAGAAGGGCTTGTTTTAAAAAGTGGTTACAATATGAGCTATCAGCCCCAAACTTGACGGAAAACTCCTGGTAAATGCCATCGATTTCCCAATTGCATTTTATTGTTCCGGAGCTTTTACAGTGACCCGACAACGTCATGCCTAAGTCACTCCTTTTTAGCCATGAAACAGTATTCAAATCAACAGCCAGTCAAATAAATAAAGAAAAGAACTATCAAAACCTAAACGAAACACTGCGCGCACGCAGGTGTGATGCGGCTTCGGGTCACTTGGTACGACGTAAGCCTAGCGGTAGTAGTTCAGAAGCAATCCAGCAGCAGTTTGGCAGTAGCCAGCGGCAGCAACTGAGCAACAGCCAGCAATTGAGCAGCAGTTTAACAGTAGTTGCTAAATACAGTTGAACATACAGAAGTCACTGATAAGAAAGCAGCTGCAATAAACTCAGTTTCCACCCAGCTGAACGCAACAAAAACTACATATACCCTAAACATGAGTAGAAACCTGAACCCGACCTGAACGCAAGAAAAAATACAAAAACAGTCAAAAACATGGTTAAGCTGAGATCACGTGAGTTTCCCTGTGTTTTGCAAAAAGGCACGACTTCCAGGGAAAGCTTCGCCACAACTAAATGTAGTCATTTCTTTTAAAAAGGCAGGACTTTGCCTTTTGGCTGTAACAGGCATCCGCCACCTTTAAACACACCCAAACAGTACTGGTGGGGTCTATATTCCACAACATATTCCCATTATATCAATCATCTCCCAAACAAAAAAGCTTATAATATTTATATATATATATATATTATATATATATATTATATATATATGTATATATATATACAGTATATACATACATGTAGCCCAATGATATTCCATTCACTTTTCATTTGATCCCCACCTTTTCTCCCCGCCTGCGATGGGTTTGCTCCGCTTGCCTCGTCCTCGCGGACCTCGCGGACCTCGCCGCTTGGCTCCTCGCGAAAGAGGATCTCCTCGTCGGCGCTGTCGGACTCGCAGTCCGCGGCCAGCGGCAGCTCCTGAACGGGACAACGTGGAAGTTCTCCAGAGTGTCATTCAATAGGATTTTAATGGGATTTTAATGGGATTTATAGTGATTCAATGGGATTTTATAGTGATTCAATAGGGATATTAATGGGATTTACCCTCTGGTTATGTCAAAATAGCTATTGAAAATGACCATAGAAATAGTGGATTTTCCCAGCTATATAGCATGGTGATTTTCAATAGCTATGTTAAATTACCAGAGGGTACCAGTTGTACCAGTTGTACCATGGTCCTTGTAGAAAAATCGTGCTCGAAAATTAGTCAGCCATATCAAATAGTCATTCAATAGTCAAGGTCAGCGCAACAAGAGCTGGTTTTGATCAGGAATGGGAACTGGATGGAACTCGTTGAGTATGCCCCTCAAACCAAATAAAGTGTAAATACGAAGTTGCAACTGGACGTCGGGTATACTATCCAAACCAGACCAGCCAACATTATCGCGGATGTGGAGCTTTATCAGCCAAAAATTGTTGGTAGATGGATTGTCTGACCCAAGAAATGTCGTTGGTTTACATCCAGCAGCTTCGCTTCACGAGCCCAAAAAAAGGTGAATCAGGGTGAATCAAATGCCACAAACATCCACCAATGATCCTGGATGGGCATAGCTGGTGGTAACCACTACGTTCCCCATTTCCCAATGGAATGGTTACCCAAATATGCCTATGGTGTGGGCTATTCACCACCGTGGTGAATAGTACCCAGCCCAACTTCCGATTTCCAGCTGCCTAGTCAATGTTTGACTATCATGTAGTCAGAATGACCCAGCTTCAGCACCAAAGCTTGACCCTTAGCCTTGACCATCACAGCCCCAACCCCTCCTGGGGAGTGACCTCCAACCGGAGATAATCGCACACCAAACTTTCGAGGTTGGGGAAGCAGCTCAGCCAACTGGCAGGGAGCGACGCCATGTGCGTCCCCGTGTTGTGTGAGAAGCTTCCGAGGTTGAAGTAGGGATCGCACTCGATGGTCAACGACCTGAGTTGCGATCCATGAATTTTGCGAGAAACATACGAAGTCCTATAAGTAGATTCCCCCAAAATTCAGGGGGAATTCCTGTTTCTTGAAGTGAAATCTGTAGATTCTGGTGCAAGCGACTTGAGGGATTCAAGGCAGAACGAAGCACTCTGGCAGAAGCTTTCTAGGTCACGACCCCGAAATCCACCTGGGGCGGCTAGAAATACGTGGCTTTGTCCAAGAAGATTGGTAACCTATGGTAACTGGTAACCTCTGGTAATTTAACATAGCTATTGAAAATGGCCATTTATAGTGAGTTTTCCAATGAAAAATGGTGATTTTCCATAGCTATGTTAAATTACCAGAGGGTAACCTCAAATATCTGGCCAACTCCAAGGGTTTATCAGGTCGATCATCATTCGCCTGGGCATTTTTTCAATGGGCGGCGTTTTTTGTGTTTTCTCTGAAATTCCAGAAGGGATTCGATTTTTTTTGTGATCCATGCGCGACCAATGTTTCTTCTTAACTACAACAAACCCATTCTGGGGTGTCCCCCCTTTTCGGACAAACCCATCAACCCATCTTGATCCATCCCATCCCCACCTAGGAACAACTCTTCCAACTGAACGCATTTTGACAGCTGCTCAGGCTTCAAGGAAGCGCTGAGACGGAAAGGTCCATGACTTGCAATCTTCAAGTACCTGGCCGTCGCGAAAAAACATGGAAAAAACACCGGGTGTTCATTTTAAAAAAAACAACCGGAGGGGGTTCAAAACACATCTGGTGTTCGGAAAGGTGTCAGAGTTCCTGATATGTTTATGTATATTAGAGTTCAAAGTGTCTGTTGCACCGTGGAAAGTGCAGAGAGGTCTCCATTATCGTAAGTCTGAGCTCGTTTTTCGCCTTGATTCAAAAAAGAATGACAAATGTGTGTGTGTGTGTCACTACAACCTCCAAGACTCTCCCAGAAAATGAACATCATCCCTTCACCACACAACCAGTCCCAGCTACCCTGGCTGCCCCAGCCCCAAAACCCCGGCCTCACGTTTTTCCCAAACCTCCGCAGCAAACTGTTGAGACTCGCCAAGTCCTCCGGCTCGGGGATCAGTTGGGCCCATAGCGAAGGCTCCATGACTGCCTGAACCGCGAAAGGCTGAGAAGTTACCACAAACTGAAACAATTCTAGATTCTAGAGATCACTCATGTCTTTAGAGTTTATCACATGCTGTTCCCCTCTCAGATCTTTGAAACCTGGCATTCGACACAAATCGCACCTCATGCCAGCGACGGGCTAGGGACGCGCAGCGCAGACGCTCGTGCAAGGGGCAAAAGGCCAAACAATTCCCCAGCGCGTCCAAAGGACATCGGTTCATCCCAGGCTCAGGGCCGCCAAGGGTGCCAAGTTAGGGCGAAGCTACGGCAAAGGGGTTGAAAACCTCGAGATTTCCCGGTGGGGTAGATACATTCCTTTTTCTATCCTTGTCTCGTAGTAAAACATGTTCTGTATATCTAGATACACTGCTATTGTCGGCAGTGCATACGCTCATTCGAAATTGTATCAGTATCTGTATGTGTAAGTATATATATATACATATATTATTATATTATATGATATATTATCTACAGAAAAAAATATGTCGCATGGACTCATGCAGAAACATTCGGATCATTAGGAAAGGGCACAGTCAGTGCCCCCCCCTTTTCAGCAGTCAGTGGCCCCCTTTCAATTTGGCACGGAGGTCTTCCTACGGCTCTGAGTCAAGATGCCAACGGTTTTTCGGCCGAAAAAAACGTCACAGTGATGGCACCGTGATGCCACGGTGAGTGAGATTAAGGTCCCCAAAGGGGGACATTTGAAAACAGACCCTGTTGAAAAAGAGTGTAACATTCTACACAAATCCAGCTATATATGTGGCTGTGGGTCGCAAAGTTTGATCATCGAAAGGTCCGAATTTTGGTCTGATCCAACCCTTGCAGCTCCTGACACCCCCCTCCAACTCTGCTTTTTGCGGCCAACGTTGCCGCAGTTACCAGCGCTTCGCAGTCTATCGTTGCCACACAGGCATCTGTCTGAACTGCACGTGTTCCAAGGATCACTTGAACGAAGTGATGAATGACAGGGAAAATCAGAAAACCCCATCAAGTCTGGATGGTAAAAAAAAAAGGTATCCCTGGTATTTTCCTGTAGACTGTGTCTGAAAAAAACAACCCGTTCAGTGAACCTGTCCTTGCCAGCTATCTTCCGCCATAAGGTTCTGAAGGGTCTCTATCAACGAACTGGCACACCTGTCGGCGGGGATGGGCACGCAAGATATTGCCATTTTTCTTGATGATTGACCCATGGAATTAGGCTATATATGTACACAATACCCGATTTTTGTACAGACCCAGATGTTGTTTCGAGCGTTCTTGGAAATACTCTAACTCTGTGCAACAAAACAGTTATTTCCAACATGTTCCAATCATTAACAGTTTTCCCCATCAATGTTTGTTCCACGAGGGAAAACGACAGAAAAAACCCACCTGTTTGTACCATGTTTTAACCTTCCGACTTTCTTACGTTTTGATTTGCTGCGGCGCCTTTTCCCAATGAATTATAGGTTTGTCTGAAAATGTGGTGCCCCCAATTCCAATCGATTCTCGTCAGTTTCCCGATTGAAATTCCTGTTCGGGTTCAAAAAACATCACGTTCAGACACACCTGTATAAATATCATATATATATATGGTTGGTTAATTAACGTATATTCCAATATATTCCCATTATATTCCCATATGATTTCCCCTGGCAATGGCGTATACCCCTCAAAAGGATTATTCTATAGGGGAGGAATGATGATAAACCATGGGTTTTTGGTGGCATAACCTATCTTCACACACACACACAGTACCGCGCAAGGCGGTGGCGGAAGTTTCGAAGATAGGAAGCCTATAGGAGAGGTGAATCGTTGTAATGCATGGATGGCAAAGCGAACCCATTGATGGACCGAATGGTGGCTAAAGCTCTGAGTCTCTCCCCTTCTCTCTGTGTCTTTCTGTGTCTCTCTCTATCTCTCTCTCTCTCTCTCTCGTTCTGTCCCTCCCTCTCTCCGTCTCTCTCTGTCTTTACCTATCGGTCTGCCTGTCTATCTGTTTATCTAACTCCCTGGCTATCTATCACGGATCTCTCTCTCTCTATCTATCTATCTCCGTCTCCCTCTCTATTTATCTATCTGCCTCTCTGTCCGTCTGCCGGCCTGCCTGCCTGCCTGCCTGCCTCTCCATCTCTCTGTCTGTCTCTGTCTCTGTCTCTCTCTGTCTCTCTCTGTCTCTCTCTGTCTGTCTCTGTCCGTCTCTGTCCGTCTCTGTCTGTCTCTGTCTGTCTCTGTCTGTCTCTGTCTGTCTCTGTCTGTCTCTGCCTGTCTCTCTGTCTGTCTCTGTCTGTCTCTCTCTGTCTCTGTCTGTCTGTCTGTCTCTGTCTGTCTCTTTCTGTCTCTTTCTGTCTGTCTCTGTCTGTCTCTTTCTGTCTCTGTCTGTCTCTGTCTGTCTCTGTCTGTCTCTGTCTCTCTGTCTGTCTCTGTCTGTCTGTCTCTGTCTGTCTGTCTCTGTCTGTCTGTCTCTGTCTGTCTCTGTCTTCTCTGTCTGTCTCTGTCTGTCTCTGTCTTCTCTGTCTGTCTCTGTCTTTCTCTGTCTGTCTCTGTCTCTCTCTCTCTCTCTGCCTCTCTCTCTCTCTCTCTCTCTCTGCCTCTCTCTCTCTCTCTCTCTCTCTCTCTGTCTCTCTGTCTCTCTGTCTCTCTGTCTCTCTGTCTCTCTGTCTCTCTGTCTCTCTGTCTCTCTGTCTCTCTGTCTCTCTGCCTCTCTGTCTGTCTGTCCGTCCGTCCGTCCGTCGGTCCGTCCGTTCGTTGGTCGGTCGGTCGGTCTGTCTGTCTGGCTGGCTGTCTGTCTGTCTGTCTGTCTATCCAGCACTAGCTCTCTCTCTCTCTCTTTCTCTAACTATTCCTCTTTCTTTCTTCCTATCTACCTATCTACCTATCTAACTATCTTCCTCTCTACCTATCTACCTATCTACCTATCGACCTATCTACCCATTAATCTATCTAATATATCTAATCTATCTAATCTATCTAATCTATCTAATCTATCTAATCTATCTAATCTATCTAATCTATCTATCTGTCTGTCTGTCTCTCTATCTATCCATCCATCCATCCATCCATCCATCCATCCATCTATCTCTCTATATCTATATCTATACCTATATCTATATCTATATTTATATCTCTATCATTCTCTATCTATATCTATATCTATATCAATTTATCTACCTATCTATCTATCTACCTATCTATCTACCCATCTAGTTCTCTATCCGTTTATCTGTCTTCCGGTCAACCTCTCCCAATCTCTGTACCTCTCCTAGTCTCTTTCTCTCTATCTACTCTATCTCTCTCTCTATCTCTCTACCTATCTATCTGTCTCTCTATCTACCTATCTCTCTATAATTCTTGCCATCTCCATCTCCATCTCTATCTCTGCCTCTATCTATCCATCTGTCTATCTATCCATCCATCTATCTATCTGAAAATCTGAAAGGAAGCAATTCTGCGAGACTTCCTTCAAAAGTGGAAGCTGACAGGTCCATGCTTGGCAAGGTGCAGAATCGATTGCGCCTGCCACACAAAATGACGGTTCAACATTCAAAAGCGGTCCAAACATGTGGTGGTGTTTTTGGCATTTTGGCTTCGAAATGCGCTTCGTGCCACAACGCCGTGCACTTTTTCCACAATGGCGTGCACTGTTTCGACATCTCAGCTTCCAAAAGTGCTCCGAACGTGTGGTGCTTTCAGAATTGTGACTTCGACATGTGCTTCGCGCCACAACGGCAAGCACTTTTTGCAGATTGCAACTGCCAAAAGTGCTCTGGAGCTGAGGTGCTTTTACCATTGTGGAAATGTGCTTCGCCCCACTGCCGGGTGCACTTTTCGAACAGCTCAACATCCTTTTAAGAGCTTGTCCCTTGCACTCAGGGCATCCCCAAGGGGCCATTTTCCCCACTGCCCACCTGACCATCCTCACCATCCTGCGCCGCGAGCTCTGCCAGAAGATTCCGCTGAGATGGATCCAGCGTTGGTAAGCTCACCTTTGAGCATGACAAGCCCCAACGAAATGGAGGGATTTCATTGGTGTTTAATGATTTCAATGGGGGGGTTAATCACCAAACTTGATTGTCAATGAGGTGGGATCTTAAAAAGAGGCCTAAAAATATGGAATTTGTTGATGCAAAACCAATCATACTGAGGTCTCAATGGATTTGTTTATACCAGAAAATCTGAACTAAAAAACCATGCTTTTCCCGTATGAAATATGCCTTCAACCAATCCACTGGAATAGGGGTATTGGGCCATCGGGGGCCCAAATGCTATTGCAACATTTGTTTCCGTGTCTTGTAGTGTGTTTTCCATATTTAAAATATGGATGCGTTTTTAGCTCTTCAAAATTTAGTATGTCAATATATTTCAATACGAAAAGGTGATACAGTAACACACCGTGAGATGGTATTAAATTTTGAGACCAACTCATAATATTATCTCATATGGATATGGCTTGGTTCAAGCAAAAAGGAACCACGGGTGGCTGTGTCTTCAACTGTCCCCAGATCAGTTCACCCAAATTTCCCCTCGGGAACCCCAAGAATTCAATCCAGCGTTCCCTCAGAGCTTGCTCCCACGGATTTTGTTGAAAAACTCCAGCATTGAGGGCTCCTACCTTCAGCTGTAGGAAGAGATTTCCAAAGCTGAAGGGTTGTCCCTTCAGTGGCATTCCTTGCCCCTTCACAGCCTGGACAGGGTGGCGAGCTGGTGCAATCTCCATCTTTCTTGGATGCAGTTTTAATAAAACCACGGCCTGGGACAAGTTACCCTCCGGTGTTATCAAACATGGCAATGGAAAATCCCCGAACGAAATGGAAGTTTTTAATGTTTTGATAGGAAAATCAACTGTAAATGGTGGAAGGGTATACAGGAAACCGGTGTTCGATGCGTTTTTCTCCCAATCCACTTCTACGAGTCAACTGCAAAATGTCTTCCCATCAAAAACATCCAGCACCCCCCATGTTTCTCCATATTTTTTGCACATCTCATTCCCATCTGACTAAATTCTGACACTTCACCAAACTGAAAAGTTTGGGGGATTTCCCTAATCCTAACATATCCTAACCATCATTTTTCTGCCGATTTCCGTCGGCCAGGTCGTGATGTTTTTGCCCAAAGGAGCTCCTTAGGCCCTTAGGCGGTGTCTTAGGTCTGGTTTCTATGGGGATCTTCAATACTCCATGAGCAGCTCCAACTGGCTATAGCCAAAATCGGGAATATAGCCATGGATATAGCCATGGATCCCGTTTTTCACCGCTCCCTCCTTTGTTCAACCACCGGAGAGCAAAGCAACCATAAAAGCGGTGATGACTTGGCGATGGTAAACATGGCATTGGCTCTACCGTTAAAAAAATTCCCTTTGGTTATTTAATTGACTATAGCTATGTATTATATATAAACAGCCCATTATGCCATGATGAGCTTGCCATGATAAGTTTACCTCCTTACCTCCCAGGACCTCCCAGGCTCTCCCCCCCGCCTTGAAGCTGGCCCTTTCCAAGACCTCCAGCGCTTCCGTTGACACAACCACGAAGCGCCGACCATCCAGGTGTTGCAGCACGCGACGAAAGCCCCGCAGGGCCTGGGCGCTTGGCAAAAGCAAGGTGCGGATTCATGGGGGATCTTATAATTCGTAATAGTAATAATATCTAATAGTAATGGTAATAATCATACTACTAGTGATGATGATGATGATGATGATGATGATGATGATTATGATTATGATGATGATGATTATGATGATGATTATGATGGTGATGGTGATGGTGATGGTAATAATAATTTATGGCAATAATATGATGTAATATGGTGTATGATTATTATAATCATGATCATGAAAATTGATAGTATTTAACCACTAATATCATTAATTACCATGATATTATCCAGGTTATAGTTCATAGTGGGGATAATTACCTGGAGGTTGTATTTAATAATGATTAGTATTACCCATAAGGATCATTGGGATATCAATGGGATAAATGATGGGGATATATAAGATATATATATATATTAAGATATTATATATGTATATATATATATAATATTATATTATATTATACATATCCTCTGGTAAGCAAACATCGTATATAATATCATATATCTATATGGTAATGGAAAATCCTCCATTGACAGGTGATTCTCCCATTGAAACAGCTTTTAGAAAAGATTTTCCATACCCATCTTTGATTCCCAGGGGGTATATCCCCACGATATAGCCAGTAATGAGTAATAACAATATCCCAATAAATCCTCATGTTTGATGGTTGATTCAAAATGAATATAAATATCCTTATTCCATAGCATTGTATACAGGGTAGTATCCCATGTAGCAGCCAGAAGTAGCATTTTTAATGGCTCACCTGGGGGCTGTTCCAACAATTCGGTAACATGAGTGCTTTTCATAAACTGACGGAAATGTTCTTTACCTCATACTGCTACTCTGCCATACTACAGCTACTCTGTTACTCTTGGAATGTCCAAGAGTGTCCCTTTAAAAAAAGGAACCGATCACCACAACCCTGCACCTCACACAGGCTAATCTCCAACTTCATGTACAAATCAGCACCCCTTCGCTTGAAACGAGGATGTTCCTAGCGGCCGCTAGCGCCGCGCTGCGAAACTGCGAAACGGCGAATTTTTAGTTCTAGGTCCGAACATGAAGAAGCAAATGGTGTTTGTCAGGGATAGTTATATTATATATTATATACTATATATAATATAATATAATATATATATATTATTATATATATTGCAAAGGCAATTCTTGGACATACAGTGCTCATTAGCAAATCTGTCAGCAATTCCTTCGATGAACTGCATCCAAATGTGCGCAGATTTCGTACCGTCCTAGTCGCAACTCATAGCATCGTCACTTCACCAGTCCTCCTCATGAAGCACCACCAACAAGTTACCAGTTTCGCAATCTGGCTCTTCATCGGCCTGAAGAAATGGGAGAAATGTCTCTTGTTTGGCAGAATTTGACCAACCCGCAAGAATGGACAATTTGAAGGATAAATAAGGATAAAATTAAAATAAAAAAGGTCAGGTCTGTGGAAAGCCACTAGAATCACTAAAAACAACTCCACTCACTGAGTTTTTATTAGGGCTTAGGGAAAGCACGGTTTACCATCCAACCGCAAGGGTTTCCGAAAAAACACCTCCAGTTGCGAAGTCAACTGGTCCGACAGTCCGACACCTTCCCCCTGAAGAGGATGGTTTCACCATGCGCAGAACCCTTCGGCACATAGACCTCCAAGTCCTCTGAAACATGCCCAACTTTCCTCGGAGATTTTTCCAGGGCCATCTGACACATTTGATTTGACGCTGGTGAGATATCCTCCCAAAGTCAGTATCCCAAAAAAACAACGCATCCACCGTTGGGTGAAACGGTCCAAGAAGATCATCCAAAGTCTCCAAGTCTTCCCTCTGCCGTTGCAGCCACGGCAGGCTCCGCGGATCAGCTCGGGCAAGGGATTTCTTCTCCCAGCGCACTGTGCACATGGCCGGACCTCACGACCCACGATTCGGTCGGAGGTCCCCCGGGTGTAGCCTCTGGTGTCATGAATCCCTTAAAAATGGAGATTTCAATGGGAAATCATCTGTAGATGTGCCATTTTCCATTGGTATATTTGATTACCAGAGGGTAAGCATCTTGAAACCCTGCGTTATCATCAAGAAAACAACCCAAATGAGGAATCTTGAAACTTCCAGAAGACAAGGACATGGCAAAGAGAAAAATCCTTTCTGTTCGCAGGAAAACAATTGCCAAATAAGATCACTGGACTGGGCAATCCTCAATAATGGTGGATTTTGCTCTGGATACTGCGTGTGGTTCTCCTTTGAAAACGCTGTGGACCAGCCATCGCTTTGGGGAAGGAACAGCCAATCTGACTGTGGAAGTTCTACAGTCACATTCTCTGAACGGTGCAACTAGCATTTGCAGGGAGATATGTTCCCTCCAACTTCCAACCCGAAAAAATGAAAGTGTCTGGATAAAGACGAATCCCTTCTCTCCCAACATCAATCCCCCCCATGTGAGCCGCCAAAATATGCCAAAATGAGTAGATCCACGACTATTAAACCAGGTTTTCTCGGTAATCTCAAGGGGAGGGATGGGCTCAATCTCCCCATCTCCCAACTCGTCTGCAAGCTGCTGCCTCCGAAGTATCTACCACTTTTCGCTTCACAATGAGCTTCTTGGTGCAGCCTGTATACAACTGCCTGGCTCAGCCAGTCCCCAGGGCGCGGCCCTGAAGATTCACGTTAGGAACTGGAATAAATGGTTTCCACGTTAGATTTCCAGGTCATCTCATGTCATCTCCATCTTCCATCCGCATCTTCCAAACGCTCAAATTCGGCCAGCTTTCGGCCGTCCAATCAGTCCAATCCTGCGAAACTCTGGCCTGGGATTCCTCAAAATATGGATATGCATCAAGTCATGCATCAAGTCATGGTTTTTTCCCCCAAGTCATAAGTCAAGAGATGGTTCACTACTTCAAAACACAGGTCATCCAAAATCTGTGGGACAGATGTCGCCCAGCTGCTCCAGGGACAGCTTCAGCACCGCAAACTTCTCCGCGCTGCGACCCACACGGAGACGACCACCGGGACCTGGAGCATGGAATGGAAATTGCCGCGCTACACGGGACTTTCATGGGGAATAGATAGCTATAGATAACTATAGAAAACTATATATATATATATAACTGCGGGTAGCTGTAGGTGACTGTAGATAACTGTAGATACCTGTAGATAGCTATAGATATATAATACATATATATATACACACATCATTGTATCATGTATCCACTCTGGCTTTGTCAGAAAATGTGCCGGAAAAGCACCAAAGATGTCATGCTTAATCATTGTGTTCCCCATAAAACTGGTCGCAATTTCGGGGTTGGGGCGTCGCTTTCAGACAAACCCATAGGGCCGCACTCAAACCATAGAAATTTAGGACCAGGTTTTGTTGGAAACTCCATAGTTTTTGTTTCCAAAGATAGGGAAGTCCTACGGTTTCCTGCAAATCTTCTCATCCGATTCTGGGATAGGATCATTTTAGTGCTCATCCAACAAAACTGTGATGATAAAAATCTGGGAACCAAAAAATGCCCTGTCACATCATCCTTCCTGCTGAGGTTTCCATCGGTTTTCGGCTTCCAGCCTTGGCGCATGAGCATCTCCCGCAGCTCTTCGGCACTCCGCGGGGGGCCGCTGTAAAACAAGGCGTCGCCTTTTCAGCGCCGCTGTTGGAGCAGGGATCTGGAAATCTTCAGCAAAAACACGGCAAAGGGGATATACCGTTGATATACCGTTGATATACCGTTGATATACCGTTGATATACCGTTGATATACCGTTGATATACCGTTGATATACCGTTGATATACCGTTGATATACCGTTGATATACCGTTGATATACCGTTGATATACCGATGATATACCGTTGATATACCGTTGATATACCGATGATATACCGTTGATATACCGTTGATATGCCGTTGATATACCGTTGATATGCCGTTGATATACCGTTGATATGCCGTTGATATACCGTTGATATACCGTTGATATACCGTTGATATACCGTTGATATACCGTTGATATACCGTTGATATACCGTTGATATACCGTTGATATACCGTTGATATACCGTTGATATACCGCTGATATACCGTTGATATACCGTTGATATACCGTTGATATACCGTTGATATACCGTTGATATACCGTTGATATACCGTTGATATACCGTTGATATACCGTTGATATACCGTTGATATACCGATGATATACCGTTGATATACCGTTGATATACCGATGATATACCGATGATATACCGTTGATATACCGTTGATATACCGTTGATATACCGTTGATATGCCGTTGATATACCGTTGATATACCGTTGATATACCGTTGATATACCGTTGATATACCGTTGATATACCGCTGATATACCGTTGATATACCGTTGATATACCGTTGATATACCGTTGATATACCGTTGATATACCGTTGATATACCGTTGATATACCGTTGATATACCGTTGATATACCATTGATATACCGTTGATATACCGTTGATATACCGTTGATATACCGTTGATATACCGTTGATATACCGTTGATATACCGTTGATATACCGTATACCGTTGATATACCATGATAACTCCTCACAGAAGGAAAATATATAAAATCGTTGACAAGGAGTACAGCAACCGCACTGCCGATTTAGCAAGCCTCATCACCAGCATGGGATTCCGACCAACAAGAAGCCTTTAGCACCAAAACAACAAATGGAGCATGCTGCAGAAAATCTCATCAAGGTGGGCAAAACCGCATCTCTACTGATGTTTCCATTGAAAAAACGTATTCATAAACACCTCGCTGATCAATGCCCCCATTGTTGGACTCCTATCCCCCAATATTTTCCTAGCATTTCATGGTGCGGATATTTTGAGTCTGATTGCCGATAATCCCCTGCCCCGCATGTTAAATACCCAGCATGACTGGGGTCACAAAATAAATAGATCCCATACCAAAACATTTGTTTTTTAAGGGGTACAATGTTCACCCCCAAGTTATGTTTGCTGGTTTCTTCGATATTTCTACTTGATCATAAACCATAGTTAACCAAAATTAACTCCGTCATAAACCAACTTAGTCATGATAAATCATGAATCAATGACAAATCCACATCAAATTCTTTGGTGAATCCCCTCCAAGGCGGACGAAAAAAACTCAAAAAATCAGTCCTTTGGCATCGTACTGAGCGCGTCTCTCGGGGTCACTGAGCACTTCATAAGCAAAGCTGATTTCCTTGAACCTCGCAGGCTCAAATGGTGTGTTTTTTACCAACAAAAATGGTGAAAAATTTTGGTTTAAGCGGAAGAAATGGTGATTGCATGGGACAGTATGGGGATATGATGTGAATATAATGGGGATGTATATATATTTGTATAGATTTGTATATGTGTATATATATATATACATATTTGTAAATATATACATATATATATATATAAACATATAATCATTGAGCAGTGATCCTTTTCGGGATTTTCGAACAAACCATGACTGACTCAACATAATTTTGAAGGAACTTCAGACAAACCCTTGGAAAATAGGCGGTTCCTGTACCTCTGTATTTTTTTTTAAATCGAATATTGGGATAACCAGGTCCCAACGAGTTGAGGATGTGAGATGATGTGAGTGCGTCAATGACCGAAGCACAGGGTTGTTCCTGGATCATTCGCGTTTCTGTTCAAATGGATTTGTCCAGAAACCAAAACAAAAGAAATGGTTTCACGCAAAATTTTCCCGCTTAAAGTAGCTACATAACTAGCCCTTTCAATCGGGGTACATCCCATTTCCGGACAAACCCATGTTCGGTTTGTACTTGTTCCTTTGTTCTCTTGCTACAGCTTTTTGCTTCGCCTGCATGCGACCCCCCTTCCCTAAGTATAAGTATAAGTATAAGCATAATTATAAGTAAAGTATACAAGTGTAAGTATGAGTGTGTAAGTATACAAGTCGAAGTATACAAGTCGAAGTATACATGCCAAAGTCTAAGTCCCAGTAGTACTGTTGCTGCTGCTGCTGCTGCTGCTGCTGCTGCTGCGAATACTACTACTACTACTACTACTACTACTACTACTACTACTACTACTGCTACTGCTACTGCTACTGCTACTGCTACTGCTACTGCTACTGCTACTGCTACTGCTACTGCTACTGCTACTGCTACTACTCCTTCCTACTCCTACTCCTACTCCTACTACTCCTACTACTCCTACTACTATTACTCTTACTACTACTGCTACTACTACTACTCCTCCTCCTACTACTACTACTACCACTACTACTACTACTGCTACTGCTACTGCTACTGCTACTGCTACTACTACTACTACTACTACCCCTCCTACCCCTCCTACCCCTCCTACCCCTCCTCCTCCTACTCCTCCTACTCCTCCTACTCCTCTACTCCTCCTACTCCTCCTACTCCTCCTACTCCTCCTACTCCTCCTACTCCTCCTACTCCTCCTACTCCTCCTACTCCTCCTACTCCTCCTACTCCTCCTACTCGTCCTACTCCTCCTACTCCTCCTACTCATTACCACTACCAGTACCACTACCACTACCACTACCACTACTACTACCACTACTACTACTACTACTACTCTACTCACTACGTCTACTGCTGTCTACTACTACTACTACTACGTCTACTACGACTACTACTCTACGTCCCTACTACTACTACTACTAACTACTCCTACTCCTACTCCTCTCCTACCCTCCTATACCCCTCCTACCCCTCCTACCCCTCCTACCCCCCTCCTACCCCTCCTACCTACCCCTCCTACCACCCTCCTACCCCTCCTTCCCCCTCCTACCCCTCCTCCTCTCCTACTCCTACTCCTCTCCTCCTACTCCTCCACTCCTCCTACTCCTCCTACTCACTCCTACTCCTCCTACTCCTCCTACTCCTCCTACTCCTCCTACTCCTCCTACTCCTCCTACTCCTCCTACTCCTCCTACTCCTCCTACTCCTCCTACTCCTCCTACTCGTCCTACTCCTCCTACTCCTCCTACTCCTCCTACTCCTCCTACTCCTCCTACTCCTCCTACTCCTCCTACTCCTCCTACTCCTCCTACTCCTCCTACTCCTCTACTCCTCCTACTCCTCTCCTACTCCTACTACTACTCCTACTACTCCTACTACTCCTACTACACCTACTACACCTACTACTACTACCCCTACTCCTCCTAGTCCTCCTACTCCTCCTAACCTACTTCTCCTACTCCTCCTACTCCTCCTACTCCCCCTACTCCTACTACTACTACTACGACGACGACTACTACTACTACTCCTCCTGCTACTACTGCTACTACTACTACTACTACTCCTCCTACTCCTCCTGCTACTCCTCCTACTCCTACTACTACTCCCACTACTGCTACTCCCACTACTACTACTACTACTCCTCCTCCTCCTGCTGCTGCTACTAGTAGTAGTAGTAGTAGTAGGAGTAGGAGTAGGAGTAGGGGTACGAGTAGGAGTAGTAGTAGTGGTAGTAGTAGTAGTAGTAGTAATGGCAGTGGTAGTAGCAGTAGCTACTGCTACTACCACTACCACTACTACTACCACTACTTCTACTCCTACTCGTACCCCTACTCCTACTCCTACTCCTACTCCTACTCCTACTCCTACTACTACTACTACTACTACTACTACTAGCAGCAGGAGGAGGAAGAGGAGTAGTAGTAGTAGTGGGAGTAGCAGTAGTGGGAGTAGTAGTAGTAGGAGGAGTAGCAGGAGGAGTAGGAGGAGTAGTAGTAGTAGTAGCAGTAGTAGTAGTAGCAGTAGTAGTAGCAGTAGTAGTAGCAGGAGGAGTAGTAGTAGTAGTCGTCGTCGTAGTAGTAGTAGTGGTAGGTAGTAGTGGTAGGTAGTAGTGGTAGGTAGTAGTGGTAGGTAGTAGTAGTAGTAGTAGTCGTCGTCGTCGTCGTAGTAGTAGTCGTAGTAGTAGTCGTAGTAGTAGTAGTAGTAATAGTAGTAGTAGTAGTAATAGTAGTAGTAGTAGTAGGAATAGTAGTAGTAGTAGTAGTAGACGTAGTAGTAGTAGTAGTAGGAGTAGTAGTAGTAGTGGTAGTAGTAGTAGTAGTAGGAGTAGTAGCAGTAGAAGTAGAAGTAGTAGTAGTCGTCGTCGTAGTAGTAGTAGGTAGTAGGTAGTAGTAGTAGGAGTAGGAGTAGGAGTAGGAGTAGGAGTAGGAGTAGTAGGAATAAGAGTAGTAGGAGTAGTAGGAGTAGTAGGAGTAGTAGGAGTAGTAGGAGTAGTAGGAGTAGGAGGAGTAGTAGGAGTAGTAGGAGTAGTAGGAGTAGTAGGAGTAGTAGGAGTAGTAGGAGTAGTAGGAGTAGTAGGAGTAGTAGGAGTAGAAGAGTAGTAGGAGTAGTAGGAGTAGTAAGAGTAGTAGGAGTAGTAAGAGTAGTAGGAGTACTAGGAGTACTAGGAGTAGGAGGAGTAGGAGGAGTAGTAGGAGTAGGAGGAGTAGTAGGAGTAGGAGGAGTAGGAGGAGTAGGAGGAGTAGGAGGAGTAGGAGTAGGAAGAGGAGGGGTAGGAGGAGGAGGAGTAGTAGGAGTAGTAGGGAGGAGGGGTAGGAGGAGTACTAGTAGTAGTAGTAGTAGTCGTCGTCGTAGTAGTAGTCGTGGTAGTAGTAGTAGTAGCAGTAGTAGTAGTAGGAATATGGGGAGTAGGAGGAGTAGGAGGAGTAGGTTAGGAGGAGTAGGAGGAGTAGGAGGAGTAGGAGTAGGAGGAGTAGGAGTAGGAGTAGGAGTAGGAGTAGTAGTAGTAGTACTAGTACTAATACTAGTACTAGTACTAGTACTAGTAGTAGTAGTAGTAGTAGTAGCGTAGTAGTAGTAGGAGTAGTAGGAGTAGTAGGAGTAGTAGGAGTAGTAGGAGTAGTAGGAGTAGTAGGAGTAGTAGGAGTAGTAGTAGTAGGAGTAGTAGGAGTAGTAGGAGTAGTAGGAGTAGTAGTAGGAGGAGTAGGAGGAGTAGGAGTAGTAGGAGTAGTAGGAGTAGTAGGAGTAGTAGGAGTAGTAGTAGTAGTAGGAGTAGTAGTAGGATTAGGAGTAGGAGTAGTAGTAAGAGTAGTAGTAAGAATAGTAGTAGTAGGAGTAGGAGTAGTAGGACTAGGAGGACTAAAAGGAGTAGGAGGAGTAGGAGTAGGAGGAGTAGGAGGAGTAGGAGTAGTAGTAGTAGTTGCAGTAGTAGTAGCAGTAGTAGTAGAAGCAGTAGCAGTAGCACTACTACTACTACTACTACTAGTACTACTACTACTACTCCTACCCCTCCTCCTCCTACTCCTCCTACTCCTCCTACTCCTCCTACTCCTCTTACTCCTCCTACTACTCCTACTACTCCTACTACTCCTACTACTCCTACTACTACTCCTACTACTCCTACTACTCCTACTCCTCCTACTCCTCCTCCTCCTACTACTACTACTCCTACTACTCCTACTACTCCTACTACTCCTACTACTCCTACTACTCCTATTACTCCTACTCCTCCTACTCCTCCCACCACTACTCCTACTACTCTTACTACTCCTACTACTCCTACTACTCCTACTACTCCTGCTACTCCTACTACTCCTGCTACTACTACTACTACTCCCACTACTACTACTACTACTACTACCACCACCACCACTACTACTACTACCACTACCACTGCCACTGCCACTGCCACTGCCACTGCCACTACCACTACCACTACCACTACTACCACTACCACTACTACTACCACTACTACTACTACTACTACTACTACTGCTACTGCTACTGCTACTGCTACTGCTACTGCTACTGCTGCTCCTGCTCCTGCTCCTGCTCCTGCTCCTGCTCCTGCTCCTGCTCCTGCTCCTGCTACTACTGCTACTACTACTCCTCCTACTCCTACTACTCCTACTACTCCTACTACTCCTACTACTCCTAATACTCCTACTACTCCTATTACTCCTACTCTTCCTACTACTCCTACTACTCCTACTACTCTTACTACTCCTACTACTCCTCCTCCTCCTCCTACTCCTTCTCCTCCGACTCTTACTTCTACTCCTACTCCTACTCCTCCTACTACTACTCCTCCTGCTCCTCCTGCTACTCCTGCTCCTACTCTGTCTTTGTCTCTTCTTCTTCTCCTTCTTCTTCTTGGTTTTCATGTGGTAAATCCAATGCCATCTGCACCCCAAGTCATCCCCAAGTTGGGCCTCTCAGGATCACCTCCCTTGTCGGGATGGTAAAGCCAAGCCAATCTCCTGGGTGTCGTAAGATCAGTTTTTGAGCGATGCCCCAGATCAGATTTGATAGTATGAAATTGTTAATGAATATTATTAATGAATATTAAGATAATGAATATTAGTACTTAATTACTTGTAATGGTATGATAATGATTATGAATAGTATTACAATATGGATAATGAAATACAATGAGTATGATCATCCTATCATGTGATCAAAGGAAGTTGGGAAGCAATCTTCCGAGTTACGGATGACTTTTACTCAATGAGACTTTACATGACATAACAATACATTCATGAAGGGTGGTGTGAGACTTTACTTCACATAACAGTACATTCGTGAAGGGTGGTGTGAGTATTACATGACATAACAATACATTCATGAAGGGTGGCGTGAGACGAGTGTGTTACCACTTTATAAACGTTAATTTCTCAACCATTTTTTTGAAATGTTTTAACCATTTTATAAAAAAATATTGCTTACCATTTTATATTAAAAAAAAATATTGCTTGCCATCTTAAAAAGATGAATTTATAATATTTTCTATTTTAAGTTTTCTTGGCGTGAATCTACATTTATTTGTTTTGAAGGCCCCAAAGTAATGGAATGGCATTTCCTTTTGAATGGCACTCCCCAACTCCTGCGCAGAAATCTCATCATTCTGTCCAACAATCTATATTGTTTTTGCGTCCTTGGCTTGGGCGCGTTCTTCAGCAGCCAGTTGGCTATGGTCGACTTCCTTGCCAATGGGAAACGCACCAAAACAATGAGAAAACGAGCAACGAGAACCCAACTGCAATTTCCGGTTGCTGATTGCCTCATGAGCCTGTTTTTCCGGATCGGTTGCTGATTGCCTCATGAGCCTGTTTTTCCGGATCGTGAGATCCATCAGGTTTTCCCAAAGCCCCATTCAAAAACTGCTAAGGATGGATTACAAAAACTGATATAGCGAGACTGAGGGTCAAACGGTGATAACACAGCGGCTGTCTGTGACGACGCCGTTTTCATCCGCACTTTTGTTCCAAACCTGAGCATGCATTGAATGCGCGCTACCAAAATCAATCTGTTCGGGGTCCCTTCCTGAGCTGAAGACAAACTCAGTCCTGCTTCCAATGCTCCTTGGTGGAACCCGCTAGAGTAAAACAGAGAAAGCTGTGTATGAGCACCGTTGGAAACTGGGAACTGAACATCTTCAGTGTCTCTTCTGGTTGGTCAAGTCCTTGTTGGCCCATGGTCAACCCGCCTTTACACTTCGAATTCCGCATTTCAATTTCCGCTGAGCAAGGCACGACCCCAACCGCGGAAGACACAGTACGCCTTCAGGAAACGCCTACGGATGAGACCCCGCCGCCCAAAAAAAAAAGAAGAGAGTCCCCTGAGCAAGCCTCAACTTGGAAGCCCGCTTTAAACGAAAACATTGATCCGAGTGCGACTGATCCGCAGCCACAGCAATCAAGTGCAATGTCTCCTCGTCAGAATTTCCAAAGAAACTGAGCACATCAAAAGCGAATTAGAAGTCCTCGGTGTCTTCAGGCTCACTCAGCTTGTTTACAGCAGCAGCCTGACAGCAAACCACTGTTTGATGATTAAGTCTCGTTTGAACTGATCAAATTCTCCCAGATCTGTCGTCAAAACTATTCATACTTCAATTTATGACGTTTTTTGTTGATCGGATAACATGCATCAGCAAGGCCTCGTCCTTCACGTAGACGAGAACATAGCCCTCGTCGGCAAGGTAATGTCGGTAGTTAACATGTGACAGCTGCGCAGCCGTGCCTCCAGCCTAGCAACTGTAGCAGCGCTAATCTGGGAGCACACCAACTTCAAAATTAAAATCACACAGACCCCAATCTAATTCTCAGGGAGCAGCTATCAGTTGGAACTTGGCAAACGTCACAAATGCATACAAATGCACAGGAGTGCTAAAGAATCAACAAGAAATGAATTAGTCATGATGTAGCCAATAATTAGCCTAATTTGTCCAATTTGTCCAAGTAACTGGTCCACTTAATTGGTCCAATAATTGCCAGTTGCCATCCCAAAACATCGGCCGTTTCCAAACGCCTCCGGATTTTCCGACTTCGAGGTTCACCCAGACGCTCCAGGTGTTTTCGGACCGCTGTCGAAGTGAACCAAATGGCTACATAAATGGCTCTAGCAATTGAGAATTGTCATTAATTGAGGATTCGAACCAAGATAGAGGAATAATATGTATGTGTCAACAGTATAGAATATATTATTATAAAATATATTACTGTATATTCAAAAAGCTGTTGAGATTTACATATATAACGTGGTACTACAACTAAGATATATAACGTAGTAATATAAACATAAGAAATGGTATACTATGTCTAAACGTGGTTACACCACCACCTGGGCGTGCGACTTTACATCACATAACAATACATTCATAAAGGGTGGTGTGAGACTTTATATCACATAACAATACATTCATGAAGGGTAATGTGTGACTTTACATCACCTAACAATACATTCATGAAGGTGGTGTGAGACTTTACATCACATAACACTACATTCATAAAGGGTGGTGTGAGACTCTACATCACCGAACAATACATTCATGAAGGGTGAGGTGAGACTTTTCGCACAGAGCAAGCACGCACGGGCCTGGCTGGCGCACGGCGCATGCAAGTTCTATAGATGAGAAAGGTCTTATAGTATAACCCTAAGGCAACTTCCGCCCCGCCTCGTGCAGGTACTACTGGTAATGATTGTTGGTTTTTTGTTTCCCTGCACTCAGAAGCTGCTGAGGCCTGTGATGAGAATGATTATGAGAATGAATATGGTTATGAATATTAGTACGTACAATAATTTACCGTTATTTTGCACCAGAAAGTCGTGATATCAATCATATTTCCCAAACCAGATTTAATGTCCTGGTGTGATGATGATACTGAATCCTGACAATCCCCATTTGGGAATGATTTCCCGTAACCATCATCTATGATGGGCCATGGAGTTGCTTAACTAGTCAGCAAGTGGCTTGTCCAACATATACCCAGCTACAAGGGGTTAATCTCATCCCCCGTTCATATGAAACGCCCCCAGAAGCCATGGTTTAGGGGATGGGAATTACAGATATTTGGGACCTCATGTACGATTTGGCTAGATGTGGCTTTGCTTTTTGGGTGAACTTACCTGGTTTACTCGAAGTTCAAAGCTTTTTCGAAAATAATGTGTCCATATTTCTTCGAAATGGAAATATGAATTGGAATATAGCCACATGGCAAATCAGAGCACCACACCTTGCCACCTTGCTGGCTGAACATGGCAAGTACAGAAACCCCATTTTCATCATCCCTTGGTGAATCCTCCACTCCCTTGGCGAATCCAAAGACCAGGAGGATCCCAGAGTTCTCCATGATATTCCCATTGTATAAACCCATCATTTTAAGCATTGATATCTATGGAAAAAAACTCTGTTGATACCATGAAATAGTCTTGATGATATTCTATGCAAATAATGTTTAAATATGTTTAATTCCAATTGAGCCATCAAGAATACCTCTGTTGATTGGGCTTTTGCAGCCATGTTAGCCATGACACCAGATAGTTGGTGGGTCAAAAAAACCCATCTCACCATTGTATTCCCATGAAATCTCACCATTCTATCCCAGCTTTTTGCTGGTTAAACCACCCTTCTTCTCCACTTTTCGATGCAGAGTTCTTGCCATTTTTGCGGGGATCATCCACTATATTCAACCATTATTCAACCATTATTCAACCATTATTCAACCATTATTCAACCATTTTTGCTGGTTAAACCATGGTTTTCACCCCATTTGTTCCACCCATCCGTCAAAAACCGGTCGCCATTTCTGCGCCCACCTGTAGCATCGCTTGATCTCCGACGCATCGGCGTCCCTTTGCAGCTCCAGCGCTTGGTACAGCGCAAAGCTGCCATCCGCGGCCGCGGCCATGGCTATTTGTCGGAACGTATCGAGGAACGGGGGAGATATGATGGTAAAAACTGGATTCTGAATGGATGATGAATGGATGATTCATTGATTCTGAACGGAGTCTTAATGAATGAGGGTATCTTAGTAATGGGGATAATCATGGGGCTATAAGCCATCAAATGGTTGTTTACCCAGAGATATGATGGGGTACATCCTAGCTTTACACCCCAGCAGTAGCAGTTTCAACAGGCCCACTTGGTTCATGATGAAAATTTTGAAAAGGGGGTTATACCAACATGTATAACAAATGTATATGTTCATGTATAATCAAAAATATATATTACCCTTTTGTATATCAAAAATGATCGTCATCCACTATGGGAATTCGGATCAACCAGCGAAACAGGGGCGTCCTTAGGACGCCCCAAAGTGTCAAAAAGCCATACTATCCCTGCAACATAGACCCTCCAAAATAGGGGGTTAGAAGATTAATTTCTACTCAAAAGTAGTTACCCTCTGGTAAACTAACGTAGCCATTGAACATTGCCATTTATAGTTGAATTACCCATTAAAAATTGTGATGTTCCATAGTTATATCAATTTACCAGAGGGTAGTTTCATGGTCTATGTAGTCAGTCCCAAGCTTGACAACAGCTGCTGCTGTTCATTGCAGAACCTTGAGCCCAGGGCTGGCGCATTCAGCAACCCAATCTATTCATCAACCACTTGGGTCTGTCTGAAAACATGGTTCCCAACAAAAACAATGGATTGAAACCGCGTTTTGGCTATCTAAATGTTCATTTAAATAATAAGAATCAGACAAACCCAAGAATAATATTAAGTGTTTGTTAGTTATATATCCTTGTTGTCAGGGTTGCTCCCAACATCCCAGATACTACGGAGGTAAATTTGTAGGAACCATGTCTGTGTAAGCTGGAGCAACCCTCTTGATTTTCCTTTTACAATCCAGTGGGATATTAGTTGTTGTTCCAAATATAGTCCAATATAACTCACCAATATTGAATTTCCAAATTATTCCAACTATATTACCATTAAGTTCCCATGAAGTGTCCATTAAATCGTATCTAATTGTTGTTTACTTACATGTTCCCATCCTATAGGTCTGTAGTTCCTTATATCTCCCGCTACATGTTTCCAACCCTGTTCTGTGTCCATCAACAAGATTCCGCTCATATTCCCATTATACAAATACAGGAGAACTACCATATGTGACATAGATAGGTAAATGATTCAACCCCTGTCTATCAAATACAACCCATCACAACCCCTTCACCCCCAAAGTTCAATGTTAGTAGATTCTGTCCATCTGCTGTAGATATCAAGGATTTGCAAAAACCTACAATATACAATTATACATCCTCTTGAAATAGTGACCTTGATGACTTTTCTATCATTTTTGGGCTTTACTATACTATAACATTCCCATTCCCATTACCATTACCATTCCATATGGCTACGCCACGCTGCCTGTGCTGAGAGATGTGGGAGCTGGAAGAGGCCTGGCCACCCTTTGGAAAGTTGGCCCAAGGAATCGGAGTGGCTTCGCTTCGAAAATATGGTGATTTTATGGTGGTTAAATTGGCAAGAGACCTATGGAAAAATGAGATCATTGACTCTCTGGTCATGATTTGTTAGACACTTTGCGAACTGATTTGTCGATGGCCCACTGAGTTTCGATCATGGTGGGGAGTAAACACCTTTTGACACTGCCTTCTCTGCAGACTCTGCAATCACTTCGGCTGCACCTATGGCGGCCGCTTGGTGGTCACAAGAAGAAACCATCCCCAAAGTTGCGCTTTACCCGGTCATCAATGGAAATTCCCGGATAAATGGAGCTGTTAATCAGGAAAATATCTATAAATAGGAGCATTTTCCATTGTTATGCTTGACTACAAAGGGTATCTACAATGGCCCCCGGCTTGATACTTGGCTGAAGTGGATAGAGTCGATTTCTGTCCATTCAACCCTGGCGTGCAACAAAACCACCATTTTTTTGTGGAGATGCATCGGAGGGGATAGCAGACTTCAGTCCTTAGGAGATCATCCTGCACTTATCGTCTAGTCCATTTGCAGTTGGTAAGTTGCACCAAGATCAAGGTACAAAAAAAATTGTCCAATGGAAAAAAATGTCTTGATCAAAAGACCATTGTTTGATGGTTTTTTTGGTCTCCACAAAGATTTTTTTCATAAGTCTACTGTACTAATATAGTGATACTTTACTTTTCCATCTTTCTGGGGGTTACTATAATATACCCCCATCAAGACTTCAAAAGATTAAGTTGGTGACAAACTCCCCAGACGATATTCCACTTGGAATCCATTCGAATATTCGTCCCAATATATCACAACCAACCAACATGGCATTCCCAATAAAACTAATTATATATATATATTATGTATATATATATATGTGTGTGTGAATGTGCAATTCAACCAGTGGTCACCTTGGATGTACCTCCAACCTGTCAGACATTCGTGCATGCATCCGATATGGCCAGGTCAACCACCGACCATGCTTCGACCATGACTCGTGGCTCAAGGCCGCACAGGTGCGAAAAGCGTGGCCGCTGCTGCGGACAGCCCAAGTCGAGAAGCGTAACACAGGAAAGGCCCAGGGGGTCTGTTGGAGCCCATTTTGGGGTATTTCTTTCTTTTGGGGTGGACCCCAAAACCCTTAATCTGGTTTGGAACCGGATTCCCCTACCTTTGTGGACTCTAACCCAGGGAGCCACATTGGTAGCGGAGCCCGGAGGGCCCACGGAACCCGTGGAAAGCCTGGGGCGCCGCCATGTCAGCGACAGCTGAGACTTCGGAGGACAAGGGGAGTCACATTTGGACCCTCTTACCGACTTTTGATCCTGCTGTCGACAACGTGAAGGAGTACATTGAGAAAGTGAAATTTATAGATAGCATATGCCCAAAGAAGGACAGACCGATGCTTGCTCCGAGATTGGCCATGCTGTGCCGAGGAACAGCCTGGGGCCAGGTGAAAAGCCTAGCATCAAGTGCCTTGACCGATCCAGAGAATGGTGTCAAAAGTCTTTTGGCGGCGCTATCGTCTTGGGAAGAGTCCACTGAGATGAAAACCTATGAACAATTCGAGAAAGCGGCTTACCGCACCGTCCAAAAGTCCGATGAAAGTAGCATGAGCTATGTGAACCGACTGCAAGTGGCCATGGATGAGCTTGGTGCCAAGAGCTTGAAGGAGTTCCACGCTTTTCTTCTTTTGAGGCAAAGCGTTTTGAGTCCAGAGGACAAGAAAAGAGTCCTGACAATGACAAATGGAGATATGGATACCAAGAAGATCGAACAGTCCATGAGGACACTGGCCACCAACATCCTGTCTTCAGGAGAAAATCGCAAGAAGGTTTACCCAACCAACTTCGTCGAACCAGAGGTTGGGTTCGTTGCTGCTGACCACGATGGCTCATCAGGAGCTGGATTGAACAACTACTACACCGAGGATGACGAGGTGGATCACGAGTTGGTGGAGCATTTGGCTGCACAGGGCGACTCTGACGCCCTCAACGTCGTCGCCTTCGAACGTGACCTGGAAGAAATGTTTCAGGAAGTGCCGGACTTGCATCAAGCACTGGTGAGTTACCAAGAGGCCTGAACCAAGATCTTGGAGAGGAAACGCTCCAGAGGGTTTTGGCCGTCAACAGGGAAGGGCAAGATGAAGGGTTCTGGCAAGTTTCAATCTCGAAAGGGGTCTGGCAAAGGCAATCTTCTCCAAAGGATTTCAAGAACGTTTTGCAAAGCATGCGGCGAGAAGGGCCACTGGAAAGCGGAATGCCCGAACAAGGCAGGGGCCTCCACCGACAGTGCCAACTATGTGATTCACCAGAGTTTTCATGTGGTCGACCGTGAAGATGGACCCGCTCAAGTGATCTTTGAAGATGCGGATGAGGCTGGTTCAGGAAAGCATGACCATGTGCCAAGAGAGAATTATCAAGGGGATAAATGTGGGGTAAAATGGAATGGGATAATGTGGGGAATAATAAGACGGGTAGGTAATGCAGCCAAGCAAGCAGCCGAGGGGTGCATCCGTGCCATGTCTGCCGTCTGTCGTCCCATGTATGTTTCCGACAAGTCCCATAACCCCATAATGTGTGACCAACCCATGGAAGTTGCTTTCAGCCTGCAACACCTAATCCCAGAAGTACAGAAATTCTTTGGCCCACGATTGCATTCCAGGAAACCAGCGATGCCGACGGCAGTTGAATGTTATCACAGCCGGCCTGACCTGAGTTGGATTGCCCAAGAAGGGCTTGCCATCCTAGACACTGGTGCCAGCCGAAGTGTCATCGGATCCGATCTGTGGCCTGGGGTGTTGAAAAGTTTGCCTTCCGAAGTCAGATGTCAGGTAAAAGAGGTACCAAGTCGAGTTGGTTTCAGATTTGGCAACAATCAAATCACCTACAGTTTCAAACAGGTTCGCATTCCCATTTTTTCAGGGAAGCGTCGAATATGGGTTGTCATAGAGGTTGTACCGCATGCGACACCCTTTTTGATTTCCATACAAGCCCTGAAAGCGTTGGGTGCCATGATCAACCTGTCAACGAATCAGTGTTTTCTCAGCAAAATCAATAGGGAGTTGAACTTGCAAGAAAGTGAAAATGGACTGTACGTCATTCGAATGTCAGAACTTTGTGTGGATCCTTGCGAAACAGTCATGAGTGCAGAGACTTCCAAAGCCGTCCAAGTGCCCAACATTTGCCCACCGCCTGGTTTGTTTTCCTCAGAGCCTGCCGACCATGTTGACTCAGAGGGATGCGATGCGGCTGATCAAGACAACGGCCGAAGCAGTGATGGAATCTCTCAGGATGCTCCTCATCATCCTGATGAACCAGATCGAGGTGAAGGCCCCGGACCAGGAGATCTCAGACCACCATGCCAGCTCACTGCAATCCCTTCTGGAACACGTGAACAACCAGAAGGAAAAGATCGAAGAGCTGGCCAAAGCTCTGAAAACAGTCCAGTCCCCTCGCAAGTCTCGA